GAATTTGCCCTAACTTAATGTATACAGTATATGTTCAACATTATGTTGTTTTTGATGGCCACCCAGTTGTTCCAATCCTGTTCATTGAGTAATCAATCCCTCTTTTACTCACTACTTTGACATGCAACCTATATCATATAATAAATTTTCATGTGAATTTGGATGTAACTCTGAGACTTTTGTTTCACTGACTAGATTTTTCTATATATGGGTCAGTACTGCACTGTTGTACTTATTGAGGCTTAATTCAATGTATTAATTGCCCTCATTACTCATATTCGGGAATTAGTTGGGGTTCATTTTCTAGTATTTCTTCTAACTGCTAGTTTTTTATATCCAGAAATGCTGTTGATTGTTTATATAATAATTGGTTGCCCACTCACCTGTCTTAACTATCTCTGTGTCTGTGGTGGTGTTTCAGTTGACGTCTGGGGTGTCCAAGGGTCCTATCACACCACCTGCTCTCTGACACTGGCGTCACTTCCTCCTCCAGGCCACTCTTCCTCTTGATGAGACAGTCCGTGACTCCATGTTGCTAATTGAAATGTGAATTTCTCAACTGCTGGGCAGAATCTGACACTACTAATCAATAACTCCATCACTTGGGATTCTGGAACAGCATACTTTCCTAGTTTTCCTGCTTCTCCAACAGCTGCTTCTACTCAGTCTGTTAGGCTGGATTCAGCTTCTCCAGACTTCTGATGGATGGAGACCCCTGTGCTGAGCCTTCAGACCTCTTTCAGTCTCCACATTCTGAGGGAGCTCCTCCAGGCCCTTGAGCACAAGCTCCAAAGGCCACAGTCTTGTTAGTGGTTGTTGTTTACACTGATTCTCCATCCCCTGAAACGATGCCTGGGTCACCATAGGTTTTTTCAGATATTTGCTGAATGAACACATGGAAGAACATTTCTGAATGTTTTAAATATTTTATAAACCAATGACAGGCTTACAAACAATAAGTAGCTCAATTTGGCTGTAGCATGAGGCACTTGAATTGAAGTCATAGGAAATAAGACTAGTAAGACTGGATAGTACAATAGCCAGGGTTCCCCAGAGAAACAGAACCTATATGATATCTATTTATTTGTTTATTTATCAAAAGGAATTGGCTCAGGAGGTTATGAAGGCTGACAAGTTCCATG